TAATATTAGTAATATAAGGTGGGGACATTAGACAAAGAAAACAAATCGTTTGATCCTTGAAAAGTAAAGCACCATAAAATTCTCCGCGTTATTCGTGGTGTCTTATTTTCGCACCGCATATTTTCGCTCGAAAAAAAGTAATTGATTTGGAAATTAAAATAAATCAATGAATTAAATAATTTAAATTCGTATGAATGAAGAAATATGAATATTTTCTGCATTAATAATTCTTTAGAAAATGAAGTGGGCACACTGTTAGGAACCAATTTTACACTTCATTGAGGTGCATTGTCACCAGGTTTTTTTCAGTATTTTCATTGATGAAAAGATTTATTTATTTCTTGTTTATGAGTTATTATGACTTATCATTATCAATTGCAATAAGACCTGAACAAGCAATTCCATTCGCAGTTATTGCCTTCTTTTTTCTTCTAACAATTCTCACTATTATTGACCTGGTTGGCCACTCCATACACTCCACTGCCTACAAGGGTAAGACGTTTCCAAATTGTGCGATTAGATGCCTTCGTTGACAATAATAAAACCATTCTTTTTTCCATGGATGCGATCATGTGATGTCTTATCCACTCGGTGAACCCGTAAAATATACCTTAGACAAAGCTGGTCAAAGGTATACCTTAGACAAAGCTGGTCATAGCTTCTTAATATCCTCCACTCTCATTGGCCATGTCTCACAGCCATATAGCAACATCGAACGAATCACGGCAATGTAGATATGGACATTCGTGATTTCAAGTGAAGACATTTAAAATGCGTATGTAAACTGGAGAATGCCAATCATTTCATTTTGGATGATCTCGATCTCCTAAAGGCATACTGGAAGTTGAAAATATTTTCCATTATTTTCCATTATTATTTATCAAATTTTTAGTCTGTGGAATAAACAAATTATTAAACAAATTATTACTCATTCCACTCATTTCACGTGATTTTACGTTGATTTCACGTACTACTATAAACTTTACGTACGAACGAGGAGGCTTACATTACTTCACTTTCACTATTGTTCTTAATTCGGTGTTATATTCGGAATTTGTGAGAGATATTTACATATTCCACATTATTCGAGGTGTTCACATTTGGTATCCCATATTTTTGAGTTCATAGGAAGCACCGATTCGCTTTACTCTTAGTGGACTCTTCTTTTTGGCATCTTGGAGTAGTACAATCAGCGAATTGAAATTTTTCTTTTACTTGGTTAACTAAATTTGCCGTCAAAATTCAAAGTTCATGCTTTCATAGATCTTGTAAAATGCAAAGGTGAGGAACCGGAAAAAAGAATAACGCTGGAATTCTAATGCTGATTATCGAAAGATGAAAGGAAATTTTGTTCTACCTTCTGATATATCCACTCATTTACATTTATCCATCATCAATGTAACATTTATCCATCATTCTCTACATGAACCAAGTTGCATCTATAATGCATAAAATACATAATGCGAGAAAAGAAAGAAAGTAGACATCACCATGCATAATAAACAAAATAAGCAAAAATGGTGCGGTCATGGTGCGTACCCCCGACATTTCATGGAGAACAGGAATACTTCGGACCAGCGAGCCACGAACATTCTGGTCATTTAATATAGAATCGGCGATAAAATATTGATAATATAAGGTGGGTTTGTTAGACGAAAACAAATCGTGAAAATGAAGAAATATGACGATTATAATAGTTCACTATTTAGGTTCTTCTAC